GTCAACCCTTGCAGCAAAAATACCATTTCTTCCCCTCTTGCTTTTACTCACCCTCGCTCCTGTTAAAACATGGGCTGAACGCAAATCCTTATCTGGCCCTTTTTCTGGGAAGGTTGCAGGGAAAATCTCTGCCGTTTTAACATTCACAGCTGGCAGGAAATAAGAGTTTCAATACAGAGACAATTAATTCTTAAAAAATGCTTGTTTAAAATGACCGTGTCCCCAACACAACTGTGACAGCATATTGCTACATATTTTGCTTTGGCAGCATTTCAACATTCCAGAGGAACATTTTCAGAGATACTTAAACTAATTAGAAAAAAAATTAGAATGAACAACAGAAAGAAGGCTGAATTCTAACCCCGAAGGTCAGGACAGGAGCTTGGTATTGACAAAATCGTAACTACAGTTAAATGGAAAAAAAATCTGCTTGCATTTCTACATGGCAACTCCGTGTGTGCATCTGCCCAACTGCGGTACCAGAAGAAAACTTCTATTTCTACCTACACCTCCAAGAGCAGCACTTAACTTTAGGCCAGGCTCTGCCCTGTTAAAATCAGCCCTTTTACTACTGGAATCTGAAAAGCAATCCTGTTACAAAAAAAATAACTGAATTCTAATTTAACTCACCTATTCCATAAATGACTGGAAAGTGAATATCCTTTTCTTCTCTGTCATTTAGTTCTGTAAGAAAAAAAAAAGGTCAAACTCAGAGGGCTTTGGCTTTTTTTCTGCACAGCATTAATTTAGTTGTGTGTTATCAGAGAAGAACAGATGTGATGTTGCATAAAGACAGAAAAAAACCCAAGGAAACCTAAAAGAAAGATGGGAAGGAAGGTGCAGGTCAGTAACAGCACCCTTGGGGCCCGGAGCAGAACTCTCCATCCCCTAGCAGCACGGCCAGCTCCAGCCGACTGCCACCCCACCTCCTGCAGGGGCAACTTACGAGGCAAAAACCCACAACGCAAAACTACCACTATGCCAAGTTTCCAAGATGTAAGTCACCAACAGCGCTGTAACGCAAAGATGATGGACATACAACCTGAACATGACACGAAGAAAATGAAATTACTTCTTCCTTTACATGACATCACACGCTATGAACTAGTGGAATGAGTTTATGCATCCATTCATGGCAGCAGGTCAAAGGGCTGTAAGTGCCCTTCTTGGTCACCTCTGAAGGTCTCCGTGGGCACACAGCCTCCTCCCACAGGCCAAGGGTGGCCAGAGGAGCTGGTAACGGTCCTGGATGGTTTCCACTGTCAGTCGCATTTCAGCAGCACTAGGTAAGGAGAGAATCCTTGCTGCACCATCTATTTGACATCACCACACGCACTACTAGCAACAAAACTAAAAATTACAAATCTTTCTGGAGGACTTGTGCTGTTCCTTCTTACAGGACAGATAAAGCAGCCACCTGTGAAAAGCCCCTACACTTTGAAGTCAGTGGCTAAAGATAATATAAAAACCAAGGAAACATCTTCTTACCTGTTACGCAGAACGTCACTAAATGAACACCATCTGGCTGGAGGTCAAACGCTCCTAGAGCAACAACAACAGCAGCAATGTGTAAGACTGACTGGTGGCAAAGCAGGTGCCGTATGTAGACGATGGGGCATTACCAGTGCCGCGCACAGCAGCACGGGTGGGCAGAGATACCTAACACACTGTTCCTAGATAAGGCAACAGAGCAAAAAGCGTTGTCCAGATTTCTTTCAAGGTAACTTTTATGAAATGAAAACCACAGCTACTAAGCATAACAGCAACTTACGCAGAGTAGCCATCTGTAACAGCAAGAACACGCTACAGAAGCGTTGTGCCACCTACTCCTTTTACTGACACTGGTTTAGCTCTGGCATCGCATCAGCTCTGCTTTAGATCACCATACACTGAACAGCTGACACAAACATATTTTCCTAAAATGTTACAGATACAGTGAGCAAAGCCTGTCTTTCATTAGCTGCATTTTGATGATGCTTTTCACTATCCCACACACCAGAAAACCCTTTTTTCAAAGTTCTAATAGCAATACAATGTTATTGTTTCAAACTAATTTGATTCATGAAAATCAGAAGGTTGAAAAAAATAAATTAACCAAAATCCTCAATTCTGTACAGAACTCTCATACAACATACAGCACAGCTAACAGGAATCGCACGGCGTGATGGCCATGAGGGTGCATCCCAGGACCTTTGCCTGTTCCGTTTTCCTTTCTGTTTTACCCCCTGCACCACCTCCCTCCAATCCCAAGTCTGCCTCCTCCCCATTCCAGTGGGCTCCCGTAGCGCTCAGCACAAGTCAAGTCAGAGCGCTTATGGGTTACCAGGTGCTTTACATTTCCAATTTGTAAAGCACCACAATCGCTTCTCTGGACTATAGATTGTAATTTATAAACAGACATAACATCTTATCTTCCATCAGACAATTCCAAACAATAGTTAAATTTTACCCCATCGCATTAAGGTATGAAACGAATAGTAACTAATGAAGTCACCTACTTCTCTAGATTTAGACGGTGACAACACCACCTGACCAAGATCCCACAGCCTATCGGCAGCAGGGCCAGGAATCGAGCCCAGCTGAACGGCACTCCAATTCTAACATGCTAGAATACAAGCCAGGAAGAAGTTACAAGTTCAGGCCCTCCATCCCACGTGCTGGCCGCATGCAAGCCTCAGAAGTCCAACCCCTCTGCACACAAAGTTCTCAGGTAGAGAAAACACCCTTCAAAACACATCCAGATATCTTTCTGTGAAATGACAGGGGGTTCAGATTACAAACACCAAATCCAGTCAGAATTATTTTTTGGGGACATGAGAGTGGAAAAAAAGTGAACTTACTAAGAAGCTGATTAGTAAGTTTTTGTGAGAACTGCCTATCATCATTGAAACCTCCAACTAGGTGCACTTCCAGCCTAACAGAGATGGAATAACAGGAAACAGCAGTTAAAAAGACATCCCAAAGTGAACAGCTTTACAAAATAACCCCCAGCCCAGACTGCAAAGCAATCATTAGAGAAGCTTCACTTGTTGCAGTCACATGCACCAAGTTGGTTTGCATTACATAGCAAGTTATGGCAATTCCATTCTGAATGCTTCAGGATCATCCAGGAAACAGCACAAATTGGAAACTTTAATAAGAACCATTACATGCATGTGCTTCTGTCTAACCCAGTGGTCTCTCCGATGGTCAGCACCTCTGGTTTGGACTGAACTTAGCAACCACCTTTCAGCTCCCAAGAAAGGGTTAATTAAACGTGAAGATTTTTGCTCCTGGGACCTCCACACAGCTATTCTGGACCATACAGCAGGATTTTCTGAGAAGTGTCTACATAAAAACAAGTCCTAACAAATCATAAGTTTTTAGAGACCGTATTTTCTAAGTTCATTGAGTTTTTGATCTTATCAAACTACAGGGGCAAAAAAATCACATCCAGGAAGACCCTTGCTTGCTAAATTCCATTACAGGGCTTTCCCCCTCCATCCTCTTCCACCCCAAAAAAATTTTTTTCTTAGAAAAATCCCAGATGGATTCTCAGATCGCAAAAGAATTTACAAGACCAACAGTCTGGAAGGAAAAATGGAACATAAGCCCAAAACCAGTGGTTTGGAAAACTGTGCACATCTGAAACAAAAGTTAACTGGGAAACAGTAAACACAAAATCTCACAATAGTATTTTACAGAGACGCTATTCAGAACAGAACCATGCTTTAAACCACTGCTAAAAACACCCTCAAAATCATCATCAAGGAAATCGTTTTCACTTTACGTGTGGTTCCTGATCAAGAGATAATTCCTGCACAATTACCTTGTCTGATGCACATCTGAAACAAAAGTTAACTGGGAAACAGTAAACACAAAATCTCACAATAGTATTTTACAGAGACGCTATTCAGAACAGAACCATGCTTTAAACCACTGCTAAAAACACCCTCAAAATCATCATCAAGGAAATCGTTTTCACTTTACGTGTGGTTCCTGATCAAGAGATAATTCCTGCACAATTACCTTGTCTGAACCCCACAAAATCACACAAAAATTCCCCACCTTACAAACTGCAATAACCTTTGTGAAAAGCAGTACGCAAGAAATAAAAGAGCAGGGCTGACCTTCCACATCCTGTGTTGTTAGAGAATGATTTTACTGCGCTCATGATGAGTGACACCTCAGCTTCTGTGTCTGACCCGTCACAGTGTGTCAAGCAGGTAGCTCCACTGCCTGCGGAAGACACGAGGAGACAGTTAACGACATTGTTGGAGGCCATTACGTGACCATAATTGAAATCAGTAACAGTTTACACTGCTCTAGCAGTGCAAGGGCTATGTCCGGCACCTCCTCGCTTCCTCTCAGGACAGCAGCCTCCAGCAGAAGGTACGGCTGACTGAACCAGGCAATAATCTCTTTGTGTGCCCCATTACAAAATCACCAGAACTCACGTGAAGGGTACATGTGCCCTCTTAACCTGGACCAGGCAACACCTCTCACATCAGAAATCCAGGCACGCAGCGAGGCTCTTTCCACAAATTCTGCCTCTGTTATTACCAAACCCTGCAGGCCCAAACTGCTGAGCACAGCCAAGGGCTGCAGCTGCCACCACCCACTGGCCACGAGAGCAGGTCAAGTTTAGGATCTGCTCATTGAGCAACCAGAACACAGAATCCCTAACACTAAACACGCCAACTCTTTGAGCAAGTCATTCAGGTAATACATCATATGACTTTTTGAGATTCAAGTTTACATAAACGTAGTTGCAGTTTATTTTATTAATGCAGCATAAACCAATACTAATCCATTACCTGAGAGTTACGGTTTTGTTCTTAACATCCTATAAAGGTACCTGTGTGTCGGAGCACAACTATGTGGCAGGTGGTTGCATCATCTGATCCAAGAATGGAAACAGAACCTATTTAAAAGGAGGGAAACAGGATAAGAACTTTGCTCTCACAATCGCTGCTTCAGTAGAAGAAAAAGCGTTTGTGTTCCTACATACCATCTTTAGGGGTAGTCACTGCAAATTCTCTCTGCTGGACATACAGAAGACCTTTGGGTTCCACAATTTGAGCAGGCTGACTTCTTAGAAGTTTTGCCTTTTCCTAAAGACAAATGATAATAGACACTACAGTGGCTGAATTCTCAGGTGTATCCATTACTTGACAGAAATATCACCTCTGAAAAGCAAAGGGAGCCAGGTCAGAGAGAAACATATTTGGTATTATGGAGTATTTTGAATTTTTAGAATTTTTTGTTTTCCTGCCACTGATCTAGTTAATTGTTAAATCCCGTAATTCCATAAACACACAAACCCCTTCTCCCTGCTTCACAGATGATAAAATGGAGGTACAACAAAAAGCAACAGGACTTGGCCAAGATTACATTAGACAATACCAGGGCTGATCTTGGGAGTTTAATCGGGGCAGGAAATTTTTTAAATGTAGAAGTTTCAGTCTTCTACTGCCACCACCCAGCATATATATTTAGTACTTATCAAAATATCGCTTAATTATCAGCTCGCTTAGCACACGGAAAACAGAGATTCCTGGGCTCTGACTACCACAGTACTGTCACAGACCCACTGGGTTGGCAGCGAATTTCCATCCTGGGGCTCAAAAAACACTGCACAGTTTTATCAAATTAGCATCAGTTTTACTGCAAAAACTCAGTTTCTATGAGGAAGCATTTTCTGATTAGAAACATCTTCCCAAGCAGCTCTGCCCAGCAGTTCCTGGCTCACAGTCTGCCCTTCGGATTACAACATGTATAGACTGAAAGGGCGGTTAAAGCCTGCCTAGGCACGGCTGTTTGGGCCGCTATCACCCGTTTCTGTTGGTTTCGCACGGAAAGGGGCAGCTCAGCCCTGCC